TCACCATCCCTCACTCTTAATTTCTCATTCACAGTAATCAGAATTGGCTTCCCTTAGTTCCTGATTCCCCATAAAACTTTGCAAATTCACCCATGGAGAAAATCACTGGAAAATGGGACCAGCAAAGAATTACATGTCTGATAGGACTGAATTCACTAGCTCAGGGGTGATCACACTCTTGAAATAAACCTTGCTTTACTCTAGAATCATCTTTCATACAGTCATTCCTTGGACTCTGTGATTTGAACCTGAGCATTGACAGATTTATCCATCAGATTAATAGGAATTAACAATACTACTTTGCTGTTGTCATTTCAGTTGTGTCTGTTTGTGACCCCATTTAGAATGTTCTTGGCAAAGATACTGGAGTGGTTTGCCATTTCCTTCTCCAGCTTGTTTTAAAGATGAGGAAACTGAGGCAAATAGGGTTATGTGACTTGCCATGGGTCATACAGCTAGTGTCTGGGGCCATGTCTGAACTCAGGTCTCTTGACTCCGGGCCCAGCCTATCCACTGTCCCGCCTAGTTGCCCAATATTATCATAGCTAACACTAATATAGCACTTACTATGTGCTAGGCAGGGGAGCTAGGTGGCACAGTGGATAGAGTGGTGGGCCAGGAAGAGGAAGCCTTATCTTCCTGAGTTCAAATACTATCTCAGCCACTTACTAGCTGTATGACCCTGGGCAACCACAGATTCTTTTAGTATGATCCTTTAAGTATGGTAAAGAAAGGTGTAGCATAGGCAGAGTAAGATTGTGAAAAGAACTCTGGATTTGGAGTCAAATGACCAAAGTTCTATTACCAGCTGAGTAAGGTTGGCCAAGTCACTTAATTTGCCCACAACTGTGAAATAAAGATAACAAAATTTACGGTTCTTACCTCACAGGGCTATTGTGAGGTTAAAATGGAACAATGTATGTCAAGTGATTTACAAATTAGAAACTGGTGTCAATTATTATGTTACTGTAAAATAACACCACAAAATCTTCAAATACATGAAAGTCAGCAATGTGGACGAGGTATTTGACTTATTTTCTTTGGTCCCAGAGGATAATAACCAGAAACAGGTAGAAGTTGCAAAAAGGCAAATTTAGGCTTGATGATAGGAAAAACTTTCTAACAAAGTTATCGAAAAGTGGTAAGAGATGCTTCAGGAGGTAGCAGGTTCCTCCTCATTGGAGGTCTTCAAACAAGGCTGAATGCCTACTTTTGGGGAATGTCATAGACAGGATTCTTTTTTGGCATTAGTTAGGTTAGGGGATTACCAAGGTCTCTATTCCCCAACTCCCCACAGAATTTTATGATTCTGGGAAACAAGAGGTAAACTATGGCTTAAAAAAAATGTTCTAGCAAAGGGGTAAAGGGAAAGCTAAGTAACAAAGAATAAAGGTCTTAGACAGAAAGGCTTTCTAGGACAACATAAACATTGAGTCATACAAGTATGTTAAACCCAGAAGAGGTATTGGCAAGAATCAACTGAACAATCAATCAATAAGCATTTATTAAGCACCTACTATATGTTAGACACTGTGCTAGGTTTGAGGGATACAAAGACAAAAATGAAACAGTTCATAATGATGGAATTTACATTTTATTAGGGGAGACAACTTAAACATATATAAGTATACAAAGAATAAACACAAAATAAAAGCAATCTAATTAAATGCAAAGTAGCTAGGTGGGAGAAGGGCATTAGTAATTGGGAACATGGAGAATCATAAGATAGTGCCTGTAGAGGTAACACCCTGAAATAGAGGAAAGGAAAAAATAAGAAGGGGAAAAAAAAGAAATTTTATATTTAAAAGAAACTAATAAGTGGTTAAATAAGGAATTTTTTTTATTTTATAATTTGGTAGTGAGTCAACAAAGATTTATTAAGTACCTGCTATGTCCTAGGCAAAGAAATGCAAAAAACCAGTCCCTGCTCTCAAAGAAGCTCACAGTCTGATGGGGAAAAAACATGCAAACAACTACATATATCAAGACATATGCAAGATAAATCGGAGATAATCTTCGAGGGAAGTCACTAGCAATAAAGAGGGATCAGCAAAGGTTTCTCACGGAAGATACAGAAGATACTGAGTCCTGAAGGAAGCCAAGAGTCAAAGATGAAGAGGGACAGAATTCCAGGCACAAAGGTCAGTCAGTGCAAATACAGTGTTGGGAGATGGATTATGTGAGGAACAAACAAGAAGCCAGTGTCACTGGACCAAAGAAGATGTGGAAGGGAATGAGGTGAAAAAGAATTATAAAGGATATGTAGAACAGAAATATCTTTTGTAACAAAAAGCCTGTGACAACTAGATGACAGAGTAGGTAAAAGTGCTTTGAAAAGTGTCAAGTTCTCTCTTCTCTCTCTGTCTTTCATTATACATGGCATTTATAGCTTGAAGGACTCTTGGACAATCTGGTCTAACCTCCTCATTTAACAGATTAGGAAATTTAGGTCCAGAGAAGTTAATTGACCGGCCCAAGTTCACTTAATTAGACAGTCTCAGATCCAAGACTAAAACCCAGTTTCCTGACTCCTAGCTTAGCACTCCTGGACTATGCTACCTTAATGCTGTTTAGCTCTGGAAGAAGAAGGGCTTTCTTGGGAAATCATCCACTAAATTGGCACATTTCTTTCAAAACTCCACATTCTGCTCAAGATTTCCCAGCTTTTATCTCTTCCACTAAAAGCAAATGGTAATCAAGATAAAATCAGAGAGAGTTTGTAAAGACAAAGGAAAAACAAATTAAAAACCTCAAACAAAAAAGACAATGATCCTCTGTCTTTCTAGTTCACATCTTCCTTTAGTCTTCTATGATTAGAAAATTGTAGTGTATATCGTGATTTTATTTTTCTAAGGTTTTCAGAAGTTAAGATTAGAAACTTCAATGGGGTTGGGGTAAGACACACAATACACATGATTTTTTCCCACCAAACTAAATGCTCACATTATGAAAATTTCTTTGGCTTTTCATTAGATATCACGTATGTAGCATTTTCAATATTAAGACTCTAAAACAGAGGGGGCAAACAGAATCAAGATTCTTAACTAACTCAAAATCCTAACATAAAGACCAGAGATACAAGCAGTGCCAAAACCAACTTCAGAAGAATTAAAACCACCAGTGAAAACTGCAAACAGTAAATTTCTAGTAAGACAGAGATTCATGAAAACAAAGGTGAGAAGTTTGGCAGACAAGTGATTTTATGTTTCTCTAAGGAAACATTTTTGCTATTCACCTGTGTCCCCAATATACTTTCATCTTGTGACAATATTCTTTATTCTATATTACTTAGTAGAGCAACAGGAAACCTATTTGCTTAGTTCCTCAACATCCCAGACCACATAGGGAAGCGAAAACATGGACACAGTAAGATGTGAGGGGAGAGAGGAAGGAAACTTTAGACATCCCAGGAGCCTGGTTCCAAATGACAGTAAACAGTCAAAGCATGGCACAACCTATGAATAGCTTCCAAGATAACATGAATAACTGTTATCTATTTTGCAGAAGGGCAAAACTGAAACAATAAAAAATCAGAAGCCTTGGGTTATAGTGTTAGTTTCACACATTACTCTGAGCCTGTTTCCTCATTTGTAAAATGGGGATAATACTTGCATTATACCTCCTAGATCATGGGGGTAATATGAAGACCAAATGTATGGACATTTACCTCTCTTTCATTTAAGCTTTAAAATGGGCATTAGGTTGGTTTAAAGACTCTTGCTTCTACCTACCTCAAGCTTATGAGAAGTGTTTTGTAATTTATAAAAAAAATTTTTTTAGTTAAAAAGTTAAAGTCAAAATGAATTTCGTAAAATTTAAAAGGTAACAAATTTAAAGTGAATTTGGGCCAACTCTCTGATAGAAATATTTATTTTGCAATTAAAAAGGTAACGGAAACTTTTACAAGTGAGCCCAAATTTTAAATTTAGGATCAAATGTTTATAATTGAAAAGGATCCTGTGAGGTAGGTCATTTAGTCCAATATACCTATTCTGCAGATGAGGAAACTGAGGACAAAGTTAATAAATTCACCCAAGGCATTAAAGGGCAGAGTCAGGATTCAGATCCAAAAATGCTATTACTGTACCAGCTTGGATCATGTCATTACCCTGCTATTTCTTCTTGGATAAAATGCAAACTTCTCTGTTTGCCATTTAAGGCTCTTAATAATCTGGCTCCAGCATACCTTTCATGGCTTATTATATATTTCTTTTTTATACACTGTAAGATCCTGCAAAACTTTGTTTGTATGTGTTCGGAGAAAATGACAGTCTGACACAGTAATAAACGTTTTTTCTTTCATTCGTTCATTCATGCCTACTTGCAGTCCCTCCTACAAGTTATTCCTAACTCCAAGACTTTTCATCCTGTCTCCCGTGCTTGGAAAGCACTCCCTTTCCACTTCCACCGCTTAGAATCTCTAGATTTCACCAAAGCTCAGCTCTAGAGCCATTTTTTTTTTACCGGAGATGCTTCTGGTTCTCCTTAGATGCTAGTTTTCCTCTCCTCCCACTGACTTTTTACCTATTTTGTATGTAATTTGTGTACACAACGTCCCCACCCCCTCCCCTTCAAAAAGTAAGCTAGCAAAGTCTATGACAAATATTCACATTTGATCCTCTCACAACAACTCTAAGAGATAGGTGATATTAAGATTCTCATTTTATCGTTAAGTAAAGTGAGGCAGATGGAGGTTAAATGGAGGTTCAGCTCAAGGTCGCTGAACTGGTAAGCATCTGAGGCCACAATCTGAACTGCAGGCCCAGCACTCTACACCACCTGCCTGGTTTTTGTTTTTGTGACTCTATCGCTGGAACATAGTAGGCGCTTAATAAACGCGTGTTAATTGATAGGGCGTTTTATGCCACTGCATGGACTGTTTACAAAATTATTTTAAAAATGAGGCAGTACTTCATAAACTTTTAGCACCCTGAACTGTATTAAATGACATCAAAATTCCTCCTCCCGCTTTATCAGAAGCCAATTTTCCAATAACTGACCCCTCTGTAAGCCGGTTTCCATCACTAATTATTTGGACGGTAAAGAAGCACCTGAAGTGAGCGTGCTTGTTGGAAAGTGTTAGGAACTTGATCCTGAGGAACAGACTCGGAAAAAGACCGGGATTCGTCTATCCAAGGGCGATGCGGGCATTTTGACCGAGCCTTCAGGGATCTGGGGAGGCCTGAGCCGGAAGAGCCAACGACCCCCTGCCCCCAGGCCCAGCGGGTCGGAATTCCTCGAGGAGGCCTCGGGGCGAAGCCCGGCGAGGTCCCGCCGCGGCTTGGCGAGCGCTCGGACTTGGCCTGGGGCACGGCAGGAGGTCAGGGAGCGCGCGGCAGCTTCCACCCCGTTTCCTCTTCCCCGCCCCTCCTAAGTCGGGGCACTTTTGTTTGCTCCTACCTGGAACGCAGGAAGCCGGTCGGCGGGCGTAACCACGCAGGCCGGAGCTCGCGGGCTGGGGCCCCAAACGGGCAACGCCCCGAGCGAGAAAGGACCAGACGATTGGCCGGCCGGCTGTCAATCACTGCACGCACACGCGCGGACACCAAAGAGCCGACGCCGGCAGCAATGATGTGGGAGAAACCACGGTCCAGGCGGACTTTCTCGGAAACATTTGGTGGATGCTTCCCCCTCCCCCAATACCCCCTCCCCCATAAGGCCGACCTCAGCTCCCCGAGGGCTATACTTCCGGAACCTGGGGCTTCCGGAGCGATTCCGGACCCGGAAGTAGCTTAAACAAGGGAGTACACAAACGCACACACACGCATACACCACAACCCACCCACCCCCATTCCCGCACCCCCTCCCCCAGCCCTGATTTAGGTCGAGACAAGGGTCCAAAACGAACTATGAAACGCACCGAGAAGAGCCGAAAACACTATTTGCGCGTCTAGTGGCGCTGTGATTGGTCAGTCAGCCACATGGAAGCAAGGAAGCGTGCTGATTGGCCAGCGATGTAACTAAAAGGCCGTACTGCTCAAGGGAGTCGTGGACTCGGTTGTGTACTTTCAGTCGGGCAAAGGTTTTGCGTAAAAAGGAGCTAATGATAATAAAGTAAAATAGCGAGAATTGGGGGAAAGAGAAGGAATGGTGGTGGGGGTGGGGAGGGGAAAGAGCGGTGGTGCCGAAGCAACCGACGCTGACGGGGAATTCAGTCAGCTCCTACCCGAATAGCAGGCAGGGTTTACAATTAGAAGTGGCTTGAGAAATGCTGGGGTTGCTGTGGACTGAGGCTATAGCGTTATAGCAAAAAAGAGCATTTAGCTTTGGAGTTTTGGAGGGGCAAAGAGCCTCAAGATCTCAGTTTACAGGTATCTAGTGCTGATGCATCAGCGAAGTTGCTTTTGATCAATGCTGCACAGTAACCCCAAAGAGCTTCACTAAGGGCTTATCAGCTGGAAGAAAAGCTTTCTATTGTGTGCATGGGCAGGGACACTTAAAGTCACAGATTTTTAATGGGAAGAGACTTTTAGGGAAGCTCTAGTCCAGCCTTCCTCGTCCCAGAGAGGTTAAATGACTTGCCCAAGGTCACGCAGGTTTTTTAGTGGCAGAATCAGGCTTTCTACCCAGGTTCTCTTGACTCCAAATTAAGCAGCTCCTATAATACAATACTGCCTTTTCCTTTTAGATCACAGGAGCTTGCCCCTAGGGGTGCCATTGTACTACAGGTACATCTGCCATTAGGAAGTTCTTTTCATTAGACAATTGTAACATTCACCTTGGTGTGCTACCTTTAATGTATAATTGGCATTAATACCACTGTCCTGCTTGTCATTCATTGCTACCTCATTGATCAACCTGCAGACCTCAACATCATTCAGAATACGAATAATTGGACGTTTCAGGAGAATTTTTTTTATTATCAAGCTCTATATAAATAGGAATTTCAAACACAGCGTCAAAGATTCAGTTCACTTTGACAAATATTTCTAAAACACCTACTTCGTGCCCTTTAAGACACTGTGCTAGCCAGACTGGAGATTCAAAGAAAACGAAACAGTGCATCCTTCAAAGAGTTTATATATTGTACTGGGGAAAACACAATGTGCATAGATAAGTAAATATAACTGAGGTGATCGAGAAAACTTTGAAGAGGAAGTGACATTTGAGCTAATCGTTTGGGAAATAGAAGGGTGGAGGGAGACAGTTCGGAAATTAAAATGTAACCGCCCCCCATTTTTTTTTTTACAAAGAAGAAACTGAATAATACTGATAGGCAGTATTATAGTAAGGTAAGAATACACTCCAGGCTAGGGGTTAAGCTCTGTATGACAACATAGTCAGGAAATAGAATGCTGAGTTTAGGGAAATGTTTTTAGTCTGATTTGGCTGCAAAATAGAGTGCTTGAATATGAAATAAATCTGGAAACAGGTTGATGACAGATTTTGAAGGTCCTCAAAAGCCAACAGAGAGCGACCGAAGGTTTTTGAGAAAGAGAATGACATTAAACCTGTGCTTTAGGAAGCTTATTGAGCACAAATCTTGTTTGTATTTGTGTCTCCAGCATCTAGATAGTGTTTTGATCATAATAGGTGCTTAATAAATGTTTGTTGAATTGATTTAAAAATAAATTCTATGACTTAAAAAGTTGGTTGTCAGCTAACTGGAAAACTCAGCTATCCAGAGTGATTCATTCGGTAAGGTTTCCAGTTAGCTAAGATTTCCCTGTAGCTACATGTTCACTTATGTCGTTGCTGAATATGCAGAAGTCATTGGCTGTGTAATGGAATTTCAGATGAATTTATTTTGTTAAAGAGTATCAATTCATAGATGGGGAATAACCAGATAATGACAACGTGGGCATAACAATGAATCAAGCTCTTTAAGTAAGTGCTTTATCTTTAGAGATGGTAGTTGAGGTTATGAACCGTTTTTTTTTAATACTTCTTTGTGCTCTTTTATGTTTTTGCATAAGTATTAAAGAGGTAGTCCCATTAGTAACTCATGATGTTTCTTCATATGCATTTTCCTAGAAGTCTGGGCGTATATAATAATTTCTTACAAAATCAACCAAAAATTATTGTGGAATTATATATATATATATATATGTATATTATATATATACACACATATATCCTTGAGAAAGTATTAGTAAAAGCAAAACTTACTTAGGTTTTATAATCGTAGGGTAATTAGCAATAATATAAGACAGTTTTCCTTCTCAAAAAAAATATATTTTTTTAAAGCTTTATGTTGTCTCTTAACTACTAACTAATAGAGTGCTAAAACAATTTAAGGAATTAGTTAATTAATTAATCTATGCTTAAGGCAGGGTATATACAAATCACTGATTTAGAAAATCAAATCTAAAGTTTTAAATCTTTTAATTTGTTTTAAATGTTTTCATTTATTTGTGTAGTAGTGGAGACCATAGGATTCATCTAATCTTTTAAATGAAGTTTTAAAAATACAATGTGGGAAAATGGATAGAATGTTAGACTTGGAATCAGGTTCAAATCCTGTTCCATATTTCTGACACTTAACTAGCTATGTCAAAATAGACTTTCTGAGCCTCAGTGTCTTTCACATCTATAAAATGTAATTAGCTGTAGTACCTACCTCACAAGGTTGTTGTGGAGTTCAAATGAAAGACTTACATAAAACGCTTTATAAACTTCAAAGTTCTGTATAAATATTGGTTATTATTATAATTTCTTATGATCTCTCCAAAGCTCATTTTCTTCTACTATTCTCAACAGTTGATATGAGGTTCAGTCCTAAATTTCAGAATAAATAGCTAGCTATGATAAAATGAGGGAGTTGTATTAGATGACCTCTCAGGTCCCCTCCAGCTCTATACCTATAGCCTCATGAGCCCTTCATACTAGACTAATAATTATAAAATGTTCAGGATTCATGAACCCATAGGGGTCATATAGAGAACCTGGATTTTTCAGATGCCTAAATAAACAGAAAGAAAAAAGTAAAGAGTACGTTATTTGTGTATGTGCTTTGTTTTTCATATTAGCCTTATTTCGGAAATACTTTTTTTTAAATTAGGAACTCTATATTTCCTTATAAATAATTAGACATATTTTAAAAATTAGGTATGCTTGCTCTTGAAAACAGATTTCTGAAATTTATAAAGTTGTATTGAGCTAGAGTAACAATTTTATGTGCTATTATGGTGGTTGTATTAATAATACACTGTAATAAAAATATGCCAACATAGTTGTTATGATTATTAATTGATTTGAAAGATGGTCCACTTCTCCATGATTTAAATAACAATTTATTTTAAAATGACCAAAACATCTTAATTTTTTGATATAGCTATAAAATCTGAAAAAAATAATGAAATTGATCATTTTAAAATGTAAGTTATATTTATCTGATGTATGAAAAATATATGTTAGACTTATGCAAAAAAACAAGAAAGCACTTTGGGTAGAAAAATTGGTTATTTAGGTTTTTTTTGCTGATGCGTCAAATCAAATTTCTCCCAATTCAGAGAACACAGTGACACTATTTTAGTTATGAATTTGAAAGGAAAGGAGTCAGATTGTATGAAAATACAAACTCACATAAGATGTCAGCATGTAAAAAAATATGAGTTTGTGCTAAACATTTTGTAATAAATATGATTCCGAAACACACTTTTAATTTAATATTTCACTTAAAATACACGTTAATATCCCAAATTATACTTTAAAAATCATTAAAGGCATTCTGTTTTGGGTCTAAATTATTTTAAGACTTTAAAAAAACAACAGAAGAAAATCATACATAGCAATATTTAATTTTTCTTTAAGAAATATATTTCAGGGGCAGCTAGGTGGCGCAGTGGATATAGAACTGGCCCTGGAGTCAGGAGGACCTGAGTTCAAATCCGGCCTCAGACACATTACACTTGCTAGCTGTGTGACTGTGGGCAAGTCACTTAACCCCATTGCCTAGCCAAATATATATATATATATATGTATATGTATATGTATATGTATATGTATATGTATATGTATATGTATATGTATATGTATATGTATATGTATATGTATATGTATATGTATATGTATATATGTATGTATCTTTCAAGTGCACAGCAAAGGCCATTTAAAAAAAATAGAACTCAACTACAAATCTATTTAATATGCTGGGTTTCAACTTGTTTATTTACCTATCTTATTTATTTATACTTTCAATTCAGATTTAGTATCCTTTTCAAGGAATAAATGAATCCAGGGAAATGCTTCTACAATTCATAGTTTAGCCAAAAGCAAGCAATAAAGACCAATAAACTTAGTAATTAACTCATTGAATAAGGATAAAAAGAAAATACATTATCCCCTTCCTCTTCTCTCTTGGTTCACCCCACATATCCAATCTTTTGTCAAGCCTTTTTGTTTCTACCTTCTCAACATCTCTGTTATGTGTCTCTTTCTTTT